TGTCAGCGCAAGGGTTCACCCCGGCTCAGGAACCGTGCCGCATGTTGTCCTCGTCGACAAAGACGGGCACGACCCCAACCGCGACGACGACACCCTGCCGCGCGGGAGTCACGTGCTCGAGCCGCGGAGCAGTAGCGACATCTCGCCGCCGCAGCACACGCGGCACAGAGTGCACGCCACGAAAGCTACTGCGAGCGGTGGGGCGAGGAAGGCGGATGCCGCGGCGTGCGGCAGTGGGAGGAAGGGGGAGGGGGCGAGTCTCGTGTCCGACTTGTATGCGGAGGCTTTGCATAAGGTGAAAGTGCTACGGAAGGCACGGAAAGGGGTGGAGAAGCAGGTTGAGGAGCCGCCGGTGGTGGCGCTTGACGAATCGCTTGATGAGGAGGCGAATGCCCTCTTCGTTGAGGCGTCTGAAACTCCGCTGTGGCGCGAGGCTCAGGGGGAGGACGAAGGGGAGATACTGCTTGAGCTGGAGCCGGCGAACGGAGTCAGTCCGTTTGCGAGTACGGTGCAGGGGGATGGGGGGCACGCAAAGGGTAGCGCAGTGGGGGGATTTCGCTTCGGGTCTCCGCATTCAGCTAACGGTGACGAGTATTCACGCAAGCAGGGCATCATGTTTCACATGGAAACGTCTCAAGACCGCTTCCCTTCGCTTCGCAATGAGGACGGAATGGAGCAGGGCGATGAAGAGGCTACGCGAGCAGCAAAGGGTTCCCCTTCCAGTAGAGTAGCGCAAAACAACAAGGAAGTTGTCCGTGGGGCGAAGGACCGTTCACCCATTCCACGCGTGGGCGCCTTGACGTCTAAACCGCGGAAGCGTGTTGCACACGTTGCAGAGAGGAAGGGTAAGGTCGTGAAAGGCCTTGACCAGGAGAAGTCGCCGAATATTTTGGGCAGGCGGCGGGTACGAGGAGCTTCATCTGCAGAATTCGACAACGATTCCGTCATTGACGTCGATATGCCAGATGCAGGGGGGTTTCGTCCCGCATCAAGGATGAAGCACAAGAGGAAAGCGCCCCCGCGCCGAACCTTGCAGTTGATGGACGATCTATCTGTTCCTTCTCTGAAGAGACAAAGAAGTGTAGGTCCTGACAGGCCACGCGGGCTAGCGGCGAGTGCGCCTTCGACAACATTTCGAAGATCCAGAATGAGGGTTAAGAGTGCCCCCAAGGGCTCGAGGAAACCGCGTCGGTTATCTTTGATGGAAACGTTGAAGGCCCGTTTGCAGGAAAGCTGTGATAAAGCACCAAGTGCGGACGGCGAGTTAGAGGATGGTTGGAATGAAATCCCGCGAGTGAGGAGCGCAGCTGGCGGAAGAGGCATTGTGCCAATCCCGAGAGTCACAAGCAAGCAGAAGAGCACGGCTAGATCTGCAGTTTCGTTGGACGATGAAAGGGAGAAAGCTCCCGCCGTGAAGGATGCTCAAACGGAGGAAGATGCGAGACCGGAGTTGCCACGGACGAGTGGTGATCCTATCTCACTTAAGAGACGTGAACCAAATCGCGCTTTGCCTGCGTTGAACAACCCCACAGAGGACGGCTTCCAGCGAAGAATGGGTGAAAACGAAGATGGTTGGCATCAAGCGGTAACTGGAGCATCAGGAGGACTCACTTCAGATCCAGGCGTGAGAAACCAGGGTTCACAGGCAGCCCCGAGCATGAATCCGACGGTTCCGGGCATGTTTTTGTTTCCGACACCCGAAGGAATGGCCCAAGCCCACCCAGTCCCACCACTTGGAATGGTTCCCCCTCCTCCGCCCCCAAACATGTTTATGCCTGTGATGCATCAAAACGCGTTCTTCCCTGGCGCTCCTATTCCACCAAACCTTTTCGGAATCCCTCCGCCTGAGCATCCCCAAGCACAATGGCAGCGAGAAGCTGTAAAGGCTGCATGGCTAGACCATCAGATCCAACACAAGCAACAATTTCAACATCAAAAGAAGACCACAGTTGTGCACGCGGAAGAGATGAAGGGCCGTTCTGCAAAACCCGCTCGTCAACAAGTCGAACACATAGAAATCCTTCAAAGAGAAGAAGCACCCGTCGTGACGGTACAGGTCGAAGAGATAGACAGCCCTCCTCCAGCGATTACCGATAAAGTCCCACCAGAGGCCCCGAAGGCAGATACCACTACCAGAGAAGTAAGCTCTGATGAGGGGGAGGACGGGGAGGATCATGTATCTACTCTCCATGTATTATCACAAAGGTTAAGGAAATGGACAAACCCTGTCTTTGCTTGGGACCGGAAAGACGCAAGGGGACATTGGGTTTGTACAGGCACGGTCAAAGTGCTGTTCAAAGAAGGTGAGGAGTTTTTGAAAAAGACCGTCAATGCTAAAAGCAGGAAAAGGGCGAAGCAAAAAGTGAGTAAGCAACTTATAGCAGCTTTGAAGGAGATGATTGCTGCGTCGAGGAAAGCAGAGAGCTCTGGAGATGCAGGCTCGCCTTCTGAGGAAATAGATAAAATGACTGGTATTTCAACTGCTGTGGGGGCTCTTACTCAGCTTTTTCACAGGCACAAGCTGGACACGCAACCCGATACACGCTTTGAGGAGATTGGGGGCGGGCTATGGCGGTGTACCGTCATCATGGCAATTTCTGGGGTTGGAAAAGTGAAGGTTTCAGAAGAGGGACCTCAGAAAAAGTTGGCCAAGAGCGTTGCCAGTCTTAAAGCACTTGAGCGCTTAAGAGAACTCAAAGTCATTCGCCCTGAAGAGTTCTCTCATTTGAAGCTTTGCCAAACGGGGAAAGAGGGTAGGGAAGCTGTCTCTGCGAAGGAAGCCAACAAAATGAGATCGGCGAGGGAAGACATAGTGCAAATCAGCGATGACGATGACGATGACGATGATGATGGGGAGAAAAAGGTCACTACGGAAGAAGATGGTGAGGGGCGTTTCCTGCTGCCCAAACATTACTTGATAGTAGAGGCGACAAAGCCAGAACACTGTGAAGAATGGCGAACGACCCATGCTAAACCTGGCTCTGAGATTGGTGTATTTGTGGATTCTTGCAGCGCGAGGAGAGAATTCGACGGTCTCAAAACCAACCGTGTGTCTGCGGATGGCGTCACAAAAGATATAGGTAGTATTAGAGTTTTGTGTTTCTCAACCAAAACGAGCTGTCTCGTCGTGCGAAAGGATAAGTGCACAGATGAAAAATCGAAAGACAAGGATTGTGAAGAGGGCCTTTGGCTTCCAGAAGCTGTTTGCACATTGCTGTGCGACCGGAAAATTCAAAAACATGGACATAACGTAGATGACGGATTGGTGTGGCTTCGAGAGTACCATGGCATTCAAGCATGGGGGATGAACGATGTATCGATTTTATCGTCTGCGTCAAGGTCTTGGAGCCATTGCAGCAATACACGTGTTCTGCACGGAATACATGAGCTGATGAAGTATTGGCTCAAGAAGGAATTAGTGAGCGTATGCCTGAAAGACGTATGGAGAAAAGGGAGCGCAAGTGACGAAGCGGTTGTCCCAGAGGGCGATGACACAACTGGGATGGCTGTTGTATCGGCGTTCGCTTGCATGTGCATTCAAGAACAGATCCGCGATGAAGCCGTCCATAAGAGAACGCGCCTGTACGGCGCGGCGGCCGAATTCCGCGAACTGAGCAAGCGATTGATGCACGACCCGTTTGCAAAATAAGATTTTGTTAGGAATGGTTTACTTGACTAGATAGCACTTGACGTACAATAGAAGGGCTCTAACAAGCACATGACGATGAAGCGCCGGCATTAGCGGGAGCGGAGGGTCGCGGTGATAAAGTGACATCGATGAGATCTGTTTCGCCCGCGAGCGGGGAGTTTTCCATGCCGGGCAGGGCAGCTGCGATCTTTCTGAACAGTGCCTTAATGTTAAACCCGGCCTTCGCGCTAGTCTCGATGAACATGATGTTGTGCTCTTTCGCTTTCGCCTCTCCCTCCTCTGTCGCAACCTGCCTGCCGTCCGTCTTATCCGTTTTATTCCCCACCAGCACAATGATGACATCGGTGCCGCGCTCGTTCCGCACGTCGTCAATCCACTTGTTCACAGACAAAAACGACGGCCGATTGGTGACGTCGTAGACTACGACGGCGACGGACGAGTCTCGTATATACGAAGGAATGAGCGATCGAAACCGTTCCTGCCCGGCCGTGTCCCACAGCTGTAAGCGCACGGTACGATCCTCCAGGTACATCGTCTTTGACAGGAAGTCGATGCCGATGGTCGCTTGGTAGTTGTTGTCGAACTTGTCGTACATAAAGCGCGTGATGATGCTCGTCTTTCCGCACCCTTGGTCACCCAACACCACCAGCTTGTACTTGGCGAGGGGAGGGACCGAGCCGCCGGACGCGGCTTGCATTGATGACATTGCCGGGAGGGCGGCAGCGCGTGATGCGGAAGCGGCGGGGAAGGGGGAGTGGGGAAGGGAAGCGGCGAAGTACTGACAGTCAGGGATTCGTCGTTGGTGGGGGGTTTGTGTTTGAGCACGATTCGGTGGGGAAGGCGACGACGGTGACGATGTGAGCGAAATAGAAGGAGTATAGCTTGACACTCGTGGTCAGGCACAACCCTTCGCTGTGTCTCGCAGCGGTGTAAAGTGGCAGAGCAGCTATTCGCAGCATCGACAAGTTAATTCTGAAAGTGGAATAACGACTCCCGCACGATTAAATCCGCGCCGAAAATATTTCCGAAAAAAAAAAAACTACCGTCACAGCAATGCAATGACAAAGATGCCCTCGCCCACCCCCGCAGTGTCCCGGCAAGCGATCACCCGATCCCCTCGGTTACTGCCATCATTGCCACAAGCTCACCTTCCCTTCCTCCCATCCCTATCGGACAGCGCTCGGCCCATTCCGCCCCTCCCATGCTGAGAACCCCCCGCCGCTGACGCGCCTCCCCAGCCCCTCCCGCCACGATGAAGCACCGAATCAAGCTGCGCAAGCTGTCGCGCACCAGCGCGCACCGTCGCGCGCTGTTCCGCAACCAAGTGACCTCGCTGATCGAGCACGAGCGCATCGAGACGACGGTGGCCAAGGCGAAGGAGCTGCGCCGCATAGCGGACAAGCTGATCACGACGGCGAAGCAGGGCACGCTGCGCGCGCACCGCGCCGTCGACGGGTACGTGCAGACGAAAATGGCAAGGCGCAAGCTGTTCGTGGAGCTCGCACCCCGGTTCATGGGACGGCCCGGCGGGTATACCCGCGTGCTCAGGACGAGGCTTAGGAGAGGCGACTGCGCGCCGATGGCGGTCATTGAGCTTTCTGAGACCGACAATTCTATCTTGACTGCGGAGCAGCTCGTGCAGAGGGAGGCAAGGAAGAGCAAGTATAGACGCAATCCGGAGCTTACGCCGCCGTCGTTGGCGAATGCGCTGGATTGAGACTCTTCAATACGGAGACTTTTTGTTGTACTAGGGGAGCGGCTGCCAAGTCGGAACCGGCGCTCTGCTGCCACGGCGTGCTTGTCTGTCACGCAACGCTACTACGCGCGGGGATATATTCAAAATGAGTGTTGATCCAAATATAGTATTGCTGCGCAGCGCTGTACAGAGGATATAGTTTGGTGAGAGAGCTGCTGACCGGCAGGACGGGCAACGTAGACGTGATATGGCAAGCATCATTTCTTCTCTGGCAATCCTGGAAAAGCCAGTCGTTTCTATTTGCAGATCAAGACACGCAAGTAGAGATACCAGCCCCCGTCCCCCGACCCTGCGTCAAGTAAATCAGCAGAACTACGGTCCTGCCTGCCTCCTTTGCGGCTCTTGCAACAGAGCCATGAAGAAACGGCCGTTTCGGCAGTTGGTTGAGGGTTAGACACCTTCGCTGCCGTTGCGTTGAATATGATCCCCTCCCTTCTCGGAAAAAGATCGAAAAAATAGGGGTCATGGGACTGCTGCAGGAGCCATTTTGGCGCCAAAATTCATTGCTATTGAGAGCAGCCCCTCCCTTTCAAACGCAAACACATAATTCAGCCCCCCGTCCCACTCTCGTCCACATCCATCATCCACCTCACGCCCTTCTTCGCCCCGACGTTTCCACGCAGCCAGCAAACGCACGTCCAAAGCTTCCGCTCTATCAACTTCCGAACAAGCGTGTAGCGAGCCTGCTTCCCATATCCACTTCACAGGTGAATCGGTTTCTGCCCGGACCGCGCCCTACCGGTGCTGCGACGTCACGTCGCGCCTTTGGATATTGCACTACTTTCGTCATCTGCCAGAATCGTTGCGGCGTCATAAGCGCTTCTGTGACTCGCGGGCGACGTTGGTGAGACCGGCCGCACCCGGCCGCTTGTAGCCCCACTCACGATGGCGGCCGTCGATATCTTCGACGTCAAGGTGCTTGACAACCCCGCCCCATTTACTAATCCGCTGCAGTTTGAAATTACATACGACGTGCGGGAAGCACTCAAGGAAGGTACGTGCGATGCATCCCTGCTATTATGAATGCGAAATGTGTGCGTAACAGCATCTTCTAACACGTTCTCCTCTTCAATTGTCGTTCTTTTGTTCGATTTGGACGTGCGGCACGATCATAATGTGCGATTTGTGCGTGACAGACATCGAGTGGAAGGTAATCTACGTGGGGTCAGCGGAAGATCAAAGCCGCGACCAAGAGCTCGATTCTGTTCTAGTCCCAGCGGAAGCGCAAGGCCGTTTCAAATTTGTCCTGCAAGTGGACCCACCAAACCCCGCCAAAATCCCCGACAGCGATATTGCCGGCGTCACCATCGTCCTGCTTACCTGCAGTTACGAAAACGCCGAGTTTGTGCGTGTCGGTTACTACGTGAGCAACGAGTACCCGACCCCGGAGCTCAACGAGAATCCTCCGTCAAAGCCAATCATCGACCAAATCACGAGGACTATCGCGGCCACAGACCCGCGCGTCACCAAATTTCCACATAAGTTTGACTTTTCGCAGCCATTGCAGGGGACATCAGCAGATCCAGAGCTTTCGACCGACGGTGCTCACTTTGCCGCTGGAGCGGCAAGCGGGCAGGTTAATATGGCATAGTGTAGCGACCTCGCGGGTGTTTTCTTAGCTGAGACGTGGGGGGTTTAGGTTGCGTACTTTGTATTGTTGAGCGTCGCGCATGGTGCTCCTGTAAAGAAATATGAGTCTTGGCAGAACACGTCCCAGAGGTAATTTTTTAATGTGAATATTTTTGTAGCGTCTAGCTTTCCGGCGGCGGTGGCGTACAAGAAATAGAGCATGTGACACGGTGCGCACCGAAACATACTCTTCTTTTAGTTCAACTGCTGGAGCATCCATCGGTGCTTTGAGCTGTTCCCTCCAATTGCCGTTGCAGGAGGCCGACGCACAGCCCACTGAAGAGGAACGTCGCGGGAGACGAAGAGAACAACATCCTCCACAACCGCGAAATGGTGCATCAAACGCATGCCAAAAGCGAGAAGAAGATGCAGAATGTCGTTAAAGCACCCACTTGCCCGGAATGGATTTCATCGCTTCACAAAGCTTTTCTTCAAAATGGCTTCAATCATACGGCATCAGCTTTGATAGACGATGGCGGCATGGTGCGTGATCACATCACTTGCTGGCAAATTACTTTAGTGTCGCTCGACCCAGGGCTTGTAGCCTTTGGGCGCATGCATTTTCCGAGAGCATCTTTATTTTGATGTCTTATTCTCTATTCTAACCTGTTCAAACCGGCGTTCCCTCCAATTCTTTTTTTTTTTTAGGATCCTAGCAAAGTGGAGGCTGCTTTTGAAGAAATATGCCGTGTTGTGGACATACACCGCAAGAAGAAAGGGCTAGGTAAGAAGAAGTCCGCCTGGGATCTATACACGAAACTAGAGGGGAATGGCGCACCTGCGAGCCCTAGTGAGTCCTCCGAAGCGGAATCTAGTGAGGAAGAGGATGAATCGAGCTCGGAGTCTGACTCAGATTCCACCTCTAACAAAAAGGCTGCCGTCAAGCTTAACAATGTACTCCAAGTTGCGAAGGCAAAGCCAAAAGCCGAGTCGGAGTCGGAATCGGAGTCGGGGTCGGGGTCGGGGTCGGAATCCAAATCTGATTCTGAGTCTGAGTCTGAATCGAATTCTGAATCATCTTCAAGTGAGGACGATGTTCAGAAGGACGCCCACAGGCATCGAGAACAGCTGAGAGGCAAGCAAGCAAAAAAATCAGAGAAAAATGTCCCGACGCCGGCTTCCAGTTCATCTGAAAGTTCGTCATCCTCATCGGAAGAATCCTCAGGGTCGGAAGAGGATGATTCGAGCCAATCGTCGTCTGACGAAAGCGTAGAGTTGAAGCGACCCGGGCTTGGGAGTGGAATAGGAAACATCCCTAAAGTGACGACCAAAGCGCGTGACAAGACAGCCGGGTCCGGTAAAGCGCAAACGGCGAGCTCTGCTAGTGCAGATAGCAGTGAGTCAGAAGACTCAGAAAACTCTGAGTCAACCGGGTCCGACAGTGATTCCTCAAGTGATTCTGACTCCGTTAAGTCGAGCGATTCGGACAGCAGCAGTTCAGATTCGGACAGCAGCGAGGATGACAGCAGCTCACCGGAATCAGGGACGGAGGAGGAAAAGAGAGCTGCACGAAGGCGATCAGGGGTCGTGCAGAATTTGGCAGCCAAACTGCAGAATGTTACGCCTTCTCCAAAGAATGCTCTCAATAAGTCGAAGCGAGAGAAACGAAAGTCTCAAGATCGCTCAGATGTTTCATCGGACGATGTAGTGAAGGAGGACAAGATCGGTGGTAAAGAAAATACATCTACTGAAGTCCAGTTTCCACGAAGCGAACAAAAGAGGAAAGCTTCCAGTGCGTCTCTAGATGGAGATGCCTTCATCAACAACAAGAGGCGTCGACGCAACGAGAATTTCAACGGAAGGTTCACTCCTTCGCCGTTTAAGCGGGTGAGAGAAGAGACTGTCGTGTATAGTGACAGCCGTTTACGGGACAACACATTTTATTCAAAGAATGATAGTTTCGGGGTGCGCGCTCATAACGATTTGATCGTGACTAGGGGTAAGGGCTTCAGGAAGGAGAAGACGAAGAAAAAGCGTCTTAACCATCACGGTGGCACGTTAAGCTACCAAGTTAACTCTTTCAAATTCGCTGATGACTCCGATTAGAACAAGTGACAGATTCGGGGACACACCGTGCCTTTCTTGCGCCGTGTTGTCAGAACCCCAGAACATCAAGAACGAAATCCCTTTAACTCAGTCATAAATCTAAGTCATCTCAGCACAGTTTTCTGTTGCAAAATTGCAGCATTGTTCGCAAAGTTATCCGCACTCTACAATTGAGCTCTAGGCCTCAAAGAACATCGGCACAACTACATAACTCTGCAAGACACGTGATTGAACAATAAGGCATGAAGCGTCCTGAACAAATACTTTCCGCGTGTGAAGGTGCCCTGTACTTATGTGAGAAGAAGAGAGCCAAGCATCCGCCCTCGCAGTTTCTATGTGCACGAAGAAGTGCGGTTGCCCAGTGTAGATCTCAACGGGTCATCAAGGTCTGCAATTTTTCGTAATTACTACAGTTTTGACATTCTAACGAATTATCCCTGCCTGTCGGCAAACTATGAGGTTTCACGGATCTCAGCCACATGCAACTAAGCACAGCCCCGCGTCAGAAGAGAGTTATGGACGTTGTCCAAAACGAGAGTGATTTAACTAAAGAGTGGTTAGCGAGGCAGGGGGACATAGCCAGGCGTGTCGTGAAGGAAGACCGCAATGGCTTCGCCACATTTTTTAGCGATACCTGTTTCTCTCCCGCACGAGACTTATTTATTGCAGGAGCAGATGTTTCCTTTTCAACAAGAGTACCGGATCACGCCATTGGCACTTTCACAGTTGTCATTCTGCGCAAATCTGGCTCACTTGATCTGGTTTACTCAAGATCCAAAACTGTGTCTATGCCACATCCCTACATTCCAACGTTTCTGGGATTTCGAGAAGCTCCCGTGGTATCAGCAATGCTCGCCGCTCTCCCCGCCATCGTCCGTAATAGGATAGATTGTGTTCTCCTGGATGGAAATGGACTACTACATCCAAGAAAAGCCGGCTTGGCATGCCATGTTGGAGTGGATGAGAACCTTCCAACGATAGGGGTATCAAAGTCTTTGCTCTGTGTCGACGGACTAGTAGAAAAGGAAGTCCGAGAATCTGCAGCCGCTCATGGTGCGGAGGGTGTGAACGTTATCGGGGCCAGCGGGACGCTATGGGGCCGAGCCCTTTTAACCGGAAACGCAAAAGTTAAGCCTATATATGTGTCGATTGGAAACAGAGTTTCTCTCAACACTGCTTCATATTTGGTTCAGAAAGTATGCCACTACCGAATTCCAGAACCTATTCGCATGGCAGACCTCCATTCGCGTGCCCTTCTAAGAGGGGAGGACGAGTTTATCTACAAAGAAGAGGCATTCCTCTAAGAATCTCTCCCGAGTTTATTGGGGCATCACTACCGCGACTTAATTTTTTCCAACTGAGAACACGCTTCGTCACAGAGATTGCTCAAGTCTTCATACTCCCTGTCCTTGACATGTAGTTCGTTCTCCAATTCTCGAATTCGCGTTAAATCATCGTAGGCTCTTGCCTTTAGTGCTTGACGTTCGGCAGTGTCTTTCTGGAGTTGTTCAATTGCTTGATCAGCACGAGTTCTCGCGTCCTCGAGCTCTACCAACTGTGAACTAGTTTTCTTGAGTTCCTCATGCGCTGAGCTGACTTCCCTCTCAAGCCGTTCTTTCTGGACCGTGATGCGCTCAAGGGAATCTTTCGTAGAGGACAACGATGTCTCCAAGGAAGATGTCTTGTCCTCCTCCTGATGCAACGAGGCCTCAAGGGTAGAAAGAGTCGCTACAATTTTCGCGCGATCTGACAGAGATTTTGTCAACTCTAATTGCACCCGGTTTAAGTCTACCGTTGCTTTGTTCCGGTGTGCTTCCGCCTCCATATACGAGGCCCGGAAGGTTGTCACTTGAGAGAATGCGTTGGCAAGTTTCTTCTCACAGTTCGTCTTCAAGTCGTCACTCCACTTTTGAAGCTCGCTCAAGTTCTTCTTCAAAGTACGAATTTGTTCGATAAATCGAGTTTCTTTGTTCTCATACACTTTGATTGCTTGTTTTCCGTTGTCGTATCTTTCTTTCACGCTCTCATATGCTTCGGTCACTTCCAAAAGTTCTGCCTTCAGCCGTTTGGTTTCCTTCTCCAGAGACGTGCAATATGCACTCGCTTGGGAATTTCCTTGCGAAATCATCTTCTGCATAGTTTGCTCATATTCTGTAAGGACGGAGTTGAGCTCAGCCGCAAGAGACTGTTCCTTCAAAAACTTTTTCTCGAGTTCACTTCTTTCCTTTTGATATTCCGCCCTCAACTTTGCCTCTCGCTGTGCTGATTCCTCCATGACAACCCGAATGGCGGCACTCCGTGCCTCCGCGATGTCCTCCTCCGTGTACGTTCGCTTCTTTCGACCAGAGAGCGGACTGATTTTTCTAATGCTATTTCCGAGCTTCTTATTGCGCATGAGAGGTGTATTTAAGCGGATATCCGCGAGGTTCGCTCGAAGGGATTGGCGCTTTGTGGCCTTGAATTCACTCGAAGAGGTCGGGCCGAGTCTCTCCGAAAACCTATGCTGCTGTGGTGTTCTGAAGTCTGAGCCACTTGGAGAGGGGATCTCTGTAGGCTGAGCAGCCGATGATGATTTCGTCTTCTCGGCCGAATCGGTCGCAGATTCGACACGTCCTGCACTCGCTGGTGAGTTTTTGTTCGTGGAACAGTGTACCGGGCTCACAGATTCGTTGGATGCCTGGCATGGTCCATTCTGTGCGGCTGGAGTCACAACCCCCTCTGGAGAATGTGGGATCACTGACACTTCACCATGAACCGCCTGGTGCACAAGCGGTAGAGCAAGCTTCGCCCGATCCTGGGTTTCTGGCAAGCCACTCTCCTCATCGACGTCGAGCTGCAGCAGTTCGATAAGTCGATCGGGGTTATCAGCATCTTCCAAGATATTGCTTAGGCACGGGTACACTTGTAGCATCAAGGCGATACATCGAGCAGCTTCTCGGGCTGTCAGCGAACGGCCGCAAGAAATGTCCATGACGCTTGGGAATACGTCCTCGGCAAAGTTCGAGCCCCTGTCGGCCTTAGATGTCAAAACGCTGTTGATGAGGCGCAATGCGGAATTGATGATGCTCGGCCTTAACTCGTCGAGGTTGTCGTTCACTGCATTGGACAATGAAGCCATTGCCTCACGTACAGTCGCAATGTCTCCATCAGAGGGAGAAGTTACAAGCGCCTGTGACACGGTAGTCATCGCTTCACATCTCTTCGGCCAGCTCCACTTGTCCTTGCCCTCAAGGAGGATCTGCAACTGCTCGGAAAGGAAAGCAGACTCACTCGCATCTTGTTCTGTATCATCTTGTTCAGATTGAACAGAGCCGACTTGCTGCTCCAGAGTGTCGCTAGTAACCTGTTCGGGATGCAACTCCTCATTGGTGGTAGGTGATGGTTCGATTCTTTCGGTCAATTGTTCGGGGATATTTGCCCCTTCTGAGGACAGAGAGTCGGCATCGTCTCCCGGTTGGCACTCGACAGAGTGGTTTGATGCGGAAGCTTCAGAGTTGTGTGGGGTCAAGCGTTCCTGAACATCCGGCCCAGCGCGTTGTGCCGCTGGTGAAGTAAATATAGTTTGAGTGGTCGGTGTTTCCGTGAGTGAAGGTGGGCTCCCATCCGTTTCCACATCTGATGTATTGTCTTCTTCCTGCAAAGATGGTGCACGTGGAGTCAGCGACGCCACCCTTGCATCCGAATTGTGGAGAGACGCGCGTAGTTTTTCCCCTATGTCTGACGCCGGGCTTCCCGCGAACAGGCCGCTCCCCACGCGCTTGGGGGTCCTAGGCGGTTTCACATGGTCAACTCTGCGGCCATTATCGACGTTCTCCTTATCGCTTTCGACGTGTTCTCCAAAGTCGAGCTTTGTCGGCTTTGGCGCTGCGCGCTCGGGCTCGTTCGGGTCGGGCGTGGGCGACACGTCGAGACGGATGCTCTTGAGGCGCGTGGCGAGGGCCGTGAGCTCGGATGGGTGCGGGGTGGATAGGGCACCCTCGTGGTGCTTGTACAGCGCGCGCAGCGGCGTCGGCAGGGTCAGCCCCGAGAAGGTGGGCAGCGGGCGACTGGGCGTGCGGATGCTAATGTCCGGGTCCGGGGAGTACTCTTCTTTACCCATGATGAGCGGTGGGTGCGACGGCGGCGTGGTAGCGAAGTTACGAGACAGCGAAGCTGGAGTGGATGAGTCGACGGAGTGGGCTAGAGAGTCGACCGGCACTTGTATTTCGAGGCTGGGGCGCTTGTTGGTAGGGCGAGATGGACGGGGGTTGAGATTTGAAATTTCAAACAGGTTGGGAGGGGTAGCTGTTCAAATATGTATTAATTATTTGGTTATTTTTATGAGGCTTCGGGAGGCGGATGCATAAACGCGGGAAACAAACGTTTAATCGTTGTGTGACGCAGGTGTGACGTGTGATCGCCGTGACTTATAAGTGTCGGGAGACCGACCGAAAGGGGCGGTCCGGAGGGGATTTTGGTGAAGGGTAAAAGGGTGGTAAATAGGGTTACCTTAAAGGGAGGGGGAGGAGCGGCAGGCTATTGCCTCAGAACCGCTACAGAGAGTGAGCACGGTCAGGGGACGGGGTTGTCGGGTTGATGGTTCAGGTGATCGAATGTGTCACGGAGCGGCCAGCAGGGCTTGACCCCCCTGGCCAATGAACAAAGACCAATGACCCAACTGTCCATTCTCTAATTGATCCGCACCCTCATTTCCATTCGTCCTACCGCCATGCAGTCTACCCCCTGCGCTTTCCCCCCCGTACCGCCGTCGACCTTCCTCCTGCCACCTCCGTGATCCGCCCCTGGGCGATCCTCAACCACAACCCCAGCCCCAACCCCACTCCCCGCGTCCCCCCGTCCCCCCCCGCCGCGGCCGCGATGGACGTCGTGGCGCTCGTCAGCGGCGGCAAGGACAGCTGCTACAGCATTCTCCGCGCGCGACAGCACGGGCACCGCGTCGTGGCACTAGCGCACATCTGTCCGCCCGCGGCGGTGGCCGAGCCAGACTCGATGATGTACCAGTCTGTAGCGTCGTCCGCGGTACGCGCGCTGGCCGACGCGCTCGCCCTGCCGCTGTGCGTCGCCCGCACGTCGGCGCAAGCGCTCGCCACGGACATGGCGTACACGCCCACGCCCGGCGACGAGGTCGAGGACCTCGTGCGCCTGCTGCGTGACGTCAAGAGCGAGCACCTAGGCGTGCAGGCCGTGTGCGCAGGCGCGCTGTGGTCGGACTACCAGAGGCTTAGGGTCGAGAGCGCAGCCAGCAGGGCCGGGTTGTTGTCCATTGCCTACTTGTGGCGGAGGGAGCAGACGGCGTTGTTGGACGAGATGATCGACGTGGGGGTGGATGCTGTGCTTGTCAAAGTCGCCGGCATCGGCTTGGGGGAGCAGCATCTGGGGATGACGTTGGCAGAGATGAAGCCACATCTTGTGAAATTGCACGAAAAGTTTGGGAGCCATGTTTGTGGAGAAGGGGGCGAGTTTGAGACATTTGTCAGGTGGATGCCGGGCATGACGAAGAGAGTGGTTTTAGAGGGCGTGAAGGTCGTCCATCATTCGAAGGATCCCGTTGCGCCCGTTTCGTACCTCGACATTGTGAAGACCCGTCTAGAGGACCCAACAAAGGAGCAGCTCTCTATAGCCGTGCCTGGGCCGATTGAAAGGCCACCTCTGTTTGCCGACCAGCCCTCCGTTGGAGAGAGAGAAGGAACAGCAAAGGCAGCAGTAAGTGCTGCCAGTTGCCACCAGGAGTGCCAATCGTCTTCTATCAACGCGGTTGAGAAAACGAGCGTCGGGATCAGCGGCGACTTCCTTCACTTTGTCGTCAAGAATCCGCTAGAAGGCCGCCAAGGCGTGACGGAATGCGCAAAGCGTCTCAAAGCTCTCCTGAAGGAGAATGACGAAACGTTGGGCTCTGTCGTGTACGTGATCCTTCATTTGCGCTCCGTCTCAGGCGACAAGTACAAAGATGCCAACCTTGGCTACACAGACGTATTCGGTACTCCCGAGTGCGTCCCGCCCCCGTCCCGGGCCTGCGTGGGCATGTTTCCCAGCAACCACCCTACGATTCTCGAGGCGTTTGCGCGCAGGCGCAGACGTTTGCAAGGACACGATTCGTTGACACTGCATGTGCAATCACTCTCTGAATGGGCCCCCCCGTGCATTGGTCCGTACGCACAGTTTGTCGAAGAGGACGGGGTGATACATGTGAGCGGGGTTCTACCACTTTACGCTCCATTTGCAAGCATCCCGGATAACATGTCCGTGCCGAATCAAGTGGCGGCATGTGCGCACAATTTGCGTCGCACACTGGAAGCGAGTCGGGTGAATGTGAACCATCTGGGCCTTTTCGTGGCATACGTAGTGTCTGCCCAACAGGTCGAAGAAGTGAGGCGGAAAATGAAAGAGGTGCTTGTTCATGATCGAGCTATAGATGTTGTTTTGCCTGTATCGGGGTTGCCAAAAGGAGGTCTGGTTGAGATTCGAGCGGTCGGAAGTATGGCTGACGGTGGGTTGCGCAAACCGCAGTGTTGCGTGGACCAAGCTAGTGACTCGCAGCAACAAAATATTCAGAGAAAAAGCGTTATTTGCGAACGACTTGGATTTGTGATCACAACTGCCATGAGTCATGGAGACACGCCCGCGGGTCATCTTAACAGCGACGGGCTGGTGAGCTGCTTCACACGTGAATCTTCATTTGGTGGGAACCCTACACCTTTTTCTTTGCAGATCTACGTATCAAAAGCCGAGGAAGAGGAGTTTGAAGAAGCGCTGGAAAGTGAACTGAGTAGCATGTATCCCACCTGTGCGGTGTGCATCATGCGATCAGCGTGGATGCCAGACGATGCCAAGATGATCAGTATTGCTGCTTTCTCGAGACAAGCAAAAGCCAATGGGTAATTCACAAGCGCAAGGTTTTTGCACTGCAAACATGGCAGCAAGCGATGCGATACAGTACTGGTGATGAATTGGGATTTTTAGGCGATGCATGGACAGCTGGGACGACGGCTGAAATGTGGACAAGAAGGTTTTTGGTACTCAAAGAAGATATATGACTGCTTCGCAACGGCCTGACGAGGAGTGTTTTACAAGACGAAATAAGCCACCGACTCGGGGGCGAAATAATTAGGTCCAATTCGGTGTTGAAATAATCTACAAGTGGCTACTTTCTGAATTTCGTCGAAGCTCCAAAAGCGTTACCAAGAAGCCCCGAAATATTATCGGCGAGGTCAACACATTTGGCATCATACGCTCTTTGGTCGGTGTCGAAGAAGACGGCGACTGCGGCTATGTGTCCGCATATGAAGACTGGGACACCAAAGCAAACAACGAGATTAGCATTGTGGGCTAGGTGTGCTCTTTGGAAGGCCTCTTGGTCATTTAGCGAAGGCAACCACTCTGGACGCATAGTACACATGACGCGGCCCGGCAAGTCAACGCGGGCCTTACATTGATAAGCACGGCTCTTGTCACGAAAGCGCTCGAGCTTGGTTTGTAGGTCAGGGTCGTCAGTATTACCCAGCGAAGGTATTACAGCCAGGCCCAGGCGGAGGCGGGCTGTTGGGCCGCTAAGCAAGGTGGTCGGGGTGAGGACATTGCTCTCCCCCGACACAGCTTCGACCTTACCCCGGACGGGTTGACTGGGGATGGGCTGTTGAGCCGGTATCCAAGCCTCTGAGTACTTCCAACCTCCCTTTGTGCATATCAAGGATAGGTAGGGTGCGAGGGCATCTTGCAGGGAAATGGAGCGCAAGACAATGCCGTCAACCCAGGCGTTGAGTTGGGACCTGGAGCTGAGTGCGAGCTCTGCCTCGAGCAAAGTCTTGCGGGCGTGAATGTCTCGATAAACGCGGATAGCGTAATCTAGAATCTGAGCCTTGTGTTTGATACCGGTCTTGGGCGGCGGGGTAGGCAGAATGCTAAGCAGTTCCTGAAACTTTAAATTAACCTTTGCACGACATCGCCTGGTATGCGAGTTGTGCGTGTCCTTGCTTTGTCCGTCATCCAGGACGGACGAGACGTCGGCGGCCGCGTTGCCAATGCTGAGCGACTGCGGGCTGGCGTGCTTGCGGTCATTGGTGCGGTCCGAGCCGTCGCTGTCAGCGCGCATGCTCGGGGCGCGGGTCGCCGGGAGGTTGCGCGCACTGTTCTTGCGGCTGAGCGCGGCGACGTCTGTGGGACGTTTCCGCTTCGCGGTCGGGGTCTTGCCCGGGCGCGTGCTCTTGGCGATGGCCTTGACGGGCGGGATGGGGGCGCGTAGCGGCGACGACGACGTGACGGCGGCGGCGGAGACAGCGGCGGCGGAGACAGCGGCGGAGACGGCGGGGGCGGGCGG